AAAGGCTGGTGGTCTGGAGATATAGGTCATAGAAGCCTTGCCTAGCATGTGTCAACCCCAATGGAGCCAAAATTGGGGGAAGAATCTAATCTCATTGTTACCCCCTGGCTCTTATCACTACATGTTGGCTCATTCCTTCCAATGCTTTGAGATGGTCCCTTCTTCTCTTAGTAGACACAGTATGTTCTCTAGAAGATGTTGTAATTTTCCCTAATTAAAATGCCATAATCAGGAGATTCTGAAGGAGGAGGAGAGGGTCTCTGCAGTGTCTCCCCTCGGGGAGGGGAACTGCTAGCTCTTAACAGGCAGTAATGGGCTCCCTCCAAGGTTCTGAAGATTCAGAGAAGTTGATAGAGCCAGAAGTTTTGGAACCCCCAGTTGTCTCTAGTCCTTGAGTCAAGAGTCAAGATTTTTCCAACCAGATTTTTCTTGAGCTCCAAGATTTTTCTTGAGCTTGACAGCACATTGCCTTTGAGAGCATCTATGAGTCAGGACTTTAGTCTGGATTATTTTCCTTCACTGCTGTACACAAAGGCCTCTTTGTAAACCTTCAAAGAGGTCCTCTGGCCCTCATAGTTAATTTTCAATGTTTTTAAAATTGTTCTCAGCTTTTCATTATCTCCTGGCAGGGCTCAATGCAAGTTAATAAAAGACGGTCAATTCCATTATGCCTGCATTCACAGCCATCTCTCTGCCTAACATGTATGCCTGAATTGTTGCCCCATAACAGCAATTTGCTACTTCACTATCTGAAAGTTTTAGCAATTGCAGTCACCATTTCCTCCTGAGGATTATCTGTACCCCCACGCTGTCCAGAATATTTATTTAGCTTTATTTTAATTTTAGAGCCAGGGTCTGTCTCACTATGTTGTCCAGGTTGGCCCTGAACTCCTGGCCTCAAGCCATCTTCCTGCTTCAGCCTCCCAAATAACTAGAACTGGACTACAGGTATTTACCAGGAATCATCAACCACAGTGAGTAGCACATTTCTTCTAACCCATCATTTTCTGGCCTCACCAGGGACTAACAGTCAGTTCAAGTGGTCTGGGAAACAGATGCTGAGACCAAGTTAGAAGTGCAAGGGTGTATTGGGCACTTTCAAGTGCCTATGAAAGACAAAGAAGGAAGCAGGAACTGGCAGAGAAAGCTCGTGCATGATATCAATCTATACCTTTAAAAGAAAGGAGATAAATGAAGCTGGTCAAGGAGACTTCAAGCCATGATGCAGACTCTTTCTAGTTGCATTTACTCAACACAAAGCTTCAGAGCCAGAGTGTCCTGTAAAGGAGGCAAACAGCGGGTGGAAACTGCCAGGCCAAGGACCCATACTGTGATGTTGCTAGCTAGGGGCTGTCCTTACCTGTGACAGGCCAGTGGACCCCAAAGATACTGCGGCAGACACTGGCAGCTAACTGTGTCCTGGCAACTGCATGAAGGTTTCTATCTCACAGGGAGCCAGAGCTGTCATATCAGGTATTTTGTTTTTGTGTCCAGAACTAGTTCTATTTCACCTTGCCGGGGGCTGGTGAGATGGCTCAGTGGTCTAAAGCACCTACTTAGAACAAGCTAAGCTAAACAAAGCACAAGGACCACGTTCAATCCCCCAGCACCACATGCCAGCCAGCCCCGCCCCCTGGTGGGCTGAGCTGGCCACACACACACACACACACAAATAAATAAAAATTAAAAAAAAACAAAACAAATATTTCACCTTGCCCCTGTATCATGAGACACGAACTTCAACAAGATAAAGAACTTTAAGCAAATCAGACAGTCGGGTTCTGCTAAAATTCTGCTACAATAGACTAGGAATGAAGCGGGAAAACTTGGGGCTGAGAGAATGTATGTGTACATACGTCTATGCTGCCAAGCTTCCATCTCCTTGCCTGCCTAAGGAAGGAGAGAGACGGGAAACAGCTGTTGTTTGGGTGTGTGGAGGAAAGCTGGCTGTCTTCTCAGAATGGCATTTTAGCACAACTCATTAAAAAAAAATCCTAGAAGGAACTTATTCCAATTTCATTGGAATGGGAAATATATGGCTTTCTTGATTCTTTTTCTTTCTTCTTTTTGTTTTTTTAGATTCCAAAATCTTTTATTAGACAAATTATAAGAACTGAGTTGGGGCCGGGGAGATGGGATTATTTTTCATTTTAAAAGATTTTTATTTCGAATATACTGGAATTGAATAGCTCAGAGCACTAGAGTGGGCAGCTAGGACAGCAAAAGGGTTAAATAAAGCGTGCTAGAGTGACCCAACTCTGAGTCCAGACTGTCTTCTGATTAGGCTGAAAATGTTGCTTGCATTTTCTTTGTCCCAGTTACCCTGCTAAGTCCCAGATATGTATTTACTAATAGACCCAGTTGATAATAAAAGGAGGCCCTGGAAGTTAGAACATGACTGATTTTTTTTTTTCCCCTTGAGAAGCCCATCAGAACTGATGTAATTATTAAATCTGGAAGTAACTGTTTTTGAGGTTGAGTCTTTTATCTAACCCAGTTTGGCCTCAAGTTCTTGATCCTCCTGACTTGGACCCCTAAGTGTTGGGATTACAGGTACATTCAACCATCCCCAACAAGATGAATCTTAGTTCAGTTTCTGGGTCTGAATTTTCTTGCTATCTTTTTTTCTTTGTGTGTGTGTGTGTGTGTGTGTGTGTGTGTGTGTGTGGTACCAGGGATCAAACTCAGGACCTTGTGCTCCCCAGGCAGGTGCTTACGCCATTGAGCCCCAGCCCATTTTCTTTCCTAAGTTTCCTTTCCAGTTGCTTGCTAGGCAATTTTTCCCCCTGAGGATGTCCCATATACTGCTTCAAGATGGCAAGTTCCCAAGTTAAGTTAATCATATTTTTCCTCTTGTGTCCTCCCCAAATTCCCCCCCCCCCTTTTTTTTCCTTTTGAAGAGGCTGCCTCAGCCTACTTCTTAGTTATCACTTTTAAATAGGTGATTGTTGAAAGATACCAGGTATGGTAGCACATACCTATAATCCCAGCACTTGGGAGGCTGAGCCACATGGTATGTTGAAGGACAGCTTGAATTTCAGAGTGAGACCATCTCAAAAAACCTTAAGGAAAAAAAAAAAGTTAGTGGTAGTGGTGAGTCTTAGAGAATTCAGGAAGGAATTCCTCAGTCTTATTTATTCATATTTTGAGACAGGGTCTTGGTCAGTTGCCCTGGCAGAACTTCAATTTGTGATCCTTCTGTCTCAACCTGGATCAAATTTGGTTTGTTTATTTATTTAGAGACATTGTCTGACTCTGTTGTCCAGGTTGGCCTTCAGCTCTCAGCATTCCTCTTGCCTCAGCCTCCTGAATGCTCGGATTGCAGGCAGGTGCCACCATGCCTGGCAAAAGCTAAAATATTTTTTGAACTCTGGAAAAAGATCTTGGAGCCACCTCTGTCACCTGTACCTAGGGTGATGACGTCCCTGAGGCTGCTTCCTTGAGGAACAGATGACAAAGTCATGACTCACATTCCGGGATTTTTTCTTTGTAACCTTCCTTCTAGCGCAGGACAGATATACCCAACTTTGTATTTATTACAAATACACCAAGTATCCTAATGGTTAGTTCCAGAGTTTATCTAGAATTAAACTATTCACTTTTCCAATTTCTTGTTCAATCAACAATCCCATATTAAAACAAACAAACAAACAAACAAAACACCGACTAACAACTAACAAAACTCTCCACCCCAGTGGCCTGGAGGTAACGCCACCCCAGAGGATCAGACACTACCTCCTCTCCGCACTCCACCCTCCCCGCACTTTTTCTTGCGGTTCCTCCCCAGGCCCCGCTGATTTCTGAGCTCCATCCCCCACAGACGCCTGCTCTGGAATGCAGAGACTTCACAGCTCTGCTGCGACCGGGCAGGTGGACTTTCCCCAGCAGGGCCCACACCTAGCTTCTGCAGGCTGGGGGAGGGAAGAAAAGGCGCAGCGAACGCTCGGTTGCTTTGTTCGCATGGCTCTTTAATCCCGCATGTGTTCACAATAAACATTCGTTGAACAAATAAACCAAGGAACCATCCCGAGCCCAGCAACGTAAACTAAGTATCCTTTCTCACATATCTCAACGGCTAACACCGGGAAGGCAGCCTTAATGTTTCAGGGCAGCCCGTAGTTCGCAGAGCAGCCCAGACAGCTCTGTTCTGAGAACAGGAACCAATGTGCCTTTACTTCTGGAAAGGCTTTCAGGAACGGTGGATTTGCAATCTGGGGTTGGGTCCCCTTCTGTTTAAAACGAAGGTCATTTCAATGCACGTCAATTCACATCCTTGGTTCTCATGCATTCATTCAACTATCATAAGCATCTAATCTGTGTAGGTCACTGTCGTAGGTGTTCAGGAGGAAGCGGGTAGGAGACTCGGAGGCGGGGCTCATCATAGACGAATGATGTAAACGATTTTTTAAATTACATGAATTAGAAGATGGTGATTACTAGAAAAATAAAGGTGTCAGGACGGAAAATAATTGTGGAGAGCGGGAGATGCGGGAAGAAAATTCAAGCCAGGCGTTCGGACTGGGGAAAAATCGATGAGGTGAGGAGGCGCTGAGGTCGGGGGCCAGCGGCAAGGTCTGCAGAAAGCCACGGAGGCTCTGGCCGCGCGGAGGCGGATGAAGGGCAGAAAGGGCTGGGGTGGAGGCTGGGGTGGAGACTGCGGCAGAGGCGCGAAGCGATGCTCGAGCGGGCGGCTCGCGGGGTACGCGAGTCGGGGGTCAGCCGCGGGCCGCCAGCAGCTGCGCCCCCAAAATGGCCTCCAGGGCCCCCAGACGCCCCGCCCCCGCGCGCCCCAGTCCGCCGGCCCACGTGACCCGGTCCGCCCCTCCCGCCCACCCTGCGGGCGACCCCGGGTCCGGGTCCCAGAGGCGGCGGCCCCGCCCCTCACGGGAGGCGGACCAACCAGCAGTCTTGGAGGGCGGGGCCGGCGGTGACTGCCAATGGAGGTGGAGCTCTGCCGGGGAGTAACAGGTTGGTGGGAGGGGGAAAAGAGGAGCTGGAGCCGTGGAACTGAGGGGAGGGCCGGGAGCCGCGCGTGCAGCTCTGCCCGAGCCCGGGGCGTGGGAACCGTGAGCGCTGACCCTCGCCGGGGTGAGTGGACGGGGCCCGGGACAGTGGCACCTGAGCGGTAGGCAGGCCCTCAGGTGCACCCCAGGGGACACAGGTACGGCGATCAGAGCTACAGTCCTTCAGGGCACAGGTGCCGTGACGGGGAGGGGAGGAGGGGAGGTCAGGGGAGAGCGGCAGAACTGGTTAAGAGCTGGTCTCGTTTAGGTGCTGCAGGAGCTTCCGGGCGTGGGGCAGCTGAGGCTAAGGCTATTCCCAGGACATGGATGCGTTTCAGGGCCAGGATATCTCTGGAGGTCACGCCAGCCCTGGGAGCAGAATCTCTCTTAGAGACCGGGACGGTGGGGGAAGGAGTTATTCCCCTTTGGGCCAAGGCGACTGCTGCCTGAGATTTGGAGACCTAAGGGAGCCCTCGGCAGGTGCTCTTTGCCTGAGGCTCCCGCCTCCTCCCCGCCCCCGTCGCCAGCAGGAACCGGCCACTGACACCTTCCTTCTAGCTCGGAGATGGCTCTGAGGTGTGGAGCCCTTCTCCATCCCTTAGCCTCCAGGTGAAGACAGTTGCCGATGGAGACACTGAAGGGCAGAACAAGAGGGCACCTCCATCTCTGTGTGGTGTGAAACTATCTAAGGCTTTCAGTGTTTGTCTCCAGGCTGGCCTTGAGCTCACTTTGTAGCCCAGGCTGGTCTGGAACTCGCAAGGATCCTCCTGCCTCAGCCTCCTGAGTGCTGGGATTACAGCTGTACAACACCACATCTGGCTGTCTTCCTTTACATTCTTACTAGGGAAAATCTTTCTTTCTCCTTGAGAGTGCACCCCAGAAGAGGGATATGAGGAAGTGTAGATCTCCTGGGCTACGAAATATCTAGAAATATGTAGTGTGAGACCTCTTTCATGTCTATCCTTCCCCCAGCTCTGCACACTTTCTTCTTAGGTTTAGATGGGGCCAAGATGGGGCCATTGGGTGAGGCTTGGGAGTGCAACCAGCTTCCTCAGTGTCTCCTGGAATCCTCTTAATTCCCTGAAAGCTCACCAGGGATCCCTGACTCCTGACCCATGATGGCTGTCAGACTGGCAGTAGGCACTGGTGGTGCAGGAAATAGGCAGGACTCCTTAGGAGACAGAAAGACTAGGGAGATTACTCCTCCAAGTCCCCAGGCCAGATGAGAGGTGCATGTTGGGCTCAGACAAAATTTCTGAGGTGGATTTCCTTGCCTTAGGCAACTGTGGAACGAGAGCCAGCTTAGCTTGGCCCCTTTGATGCCCTGCCTGAGGAAGGTTGTAATAACTGGCAAATAATTAGCAACCGCTATGTTTGTAGCCAAGCTGACTACATGTGCCCACAGCACCTCTTTTCTCATCCTGCATATGTGGATGTAGGGTTCTAGCTCTGAGGGCCTGCTAATCCTGAGATCTGCCTGACTTCCTAGATGCTTCTCGCTGTTCCCAGGCTGGCCTGCCTGCATTTACCTTATGGGAAATGACGGGGGAGGGCCTGCATCACTTCATGCCAGGGAGGTGGCAAGGTAATTGTGGGATTAGGAATGCAACTTTGAGAGCTTGAGAGGGAGTGATGGAGGGAAACAAAGTCTTACTGTCATACGCTGGCCTGTCACTCACTGGGTTCTTGGTGCATCTGTTCCTTTTGCCGCTTTTCTCTCCACCCTGCCCGCCCCTTTAGAGCCTTGGTTTGCCATCCAAGGTAGACCACGCCACAGTTCCTGGTCTTGCCCCTCTGTCTCCTCTGGTGTGGAATTTCTCTGGTCTGCGTTCCAAGCTGCCACTGTCCTCTCCCTGCCCCTCCCTTTTCCTTTGCCTCAAACCAGTCAAGCCAGTTTGCAGGGGCCTAGAGCATTGTTTTTAACCCCCCCCCCCCCCACCACTGGCTAAGCAGCTCTAGCCTGGCTCTCGGGTTTCTACTTTTTCTGTAGACCTAGCCTGGAGTCCACATGGGGTATGTGTGTTCTAATTGGAACTCTTTGGCAGTGTTGGAGATTGAACCTGGGCCTTTGCACTGAGTTACATCCTTAACCCTTTCTACAATTTTTATTTTGAGACAGAGTCTTAGTAAGTTGTTTAGTTGAGCTGGAATTTGCCATTCTCTTGCCTCAGCCTCCCAGAGTGCTGGGATCACAAGCATGCACCACCACACCCAGCTGGTAACCTTATCTCTACAATTTTATGAGAAAAAGGGAACATAGTGTTCAAGGTCACTGAGCTGTCCTACTCTATTTTGACCATTTGTTTTCCTTATTATCACCAAGGGGGTTTTAATCTGTATTTTTGTAGTTCTCCCATTTTCTAAATGTGCCTGTTATTTAGAATCTAGCAATTTGCCTGGCCTTGTGTGTATCAGTTCTTCCTCCGCACACCCGAAACCGCCCTGTCCTCACTTCCTACTAGGAGTCCAGGAACATTGTCACTCCTAGTTGGAAGCTAGATACATATGGGCGGGTCAGAGGTGATAGAATTGGGGCAGGGCAGGCTAATGAGTAACTCCGGAAGAAGTGGCTGTCTGGTACAGGTGTAGAGTGCCCTCCCCCTCTTGGAATACAGGAATGGCAGAGGCAGACAGATAAAGCTGAATTAACTTATGTCCTGGTTTCTTCCCATGGTGTAGTTGATGAGAAGAGCCCTGGCCACCGACCAGGGAAGGGAATAGCAGGGTCAGGCATCTATCTGGTGAGAGTGCAGGCTCAGGATTGGGGTTGCCTGGCACCTGATCACTGTTTACCTGCCTGGGGCTTATGCAAGACCTTGGAGCTGCCCAGCTCCCTTGGCCCCGCCCAGCTGTCCTCTGTAACCCAAGGCGGGTAGGTTTCGGGTTTTCCATGTTGAATCATTTAGAGATCTGTTTTCTGACCCAGCCCAAAGATTCCTTACCCCTCCTAGCCCCTGACCCACATGTCCTGGGTCTGAAGGTGATCGCAGCTAGGGAGTCACTGTGACTGGGGGAGGGCTCCAGACCACCTCTGCCTAACCTGGCCCTCTCAGCCAGGTGGCTGTGCACTTTGCTGGTTCTAAGTGGGAACTCCCTGACCTGGATCTGGAAGATCTGTAGATGTTCTGACAGGGTAGAGCTGCAGCATGAATAAATCATGTGACTTCGGTGAGCTGGAAGTCTAGGCACATCTGGTTCTAAGATCATGACAGGGAATACAGACAAAGAAGAGTCTTGCTACTCAGGGCAGAAGAGCGATGGCTGGGAGGGATCCTTGGCTAAATCTTCCTTGACCCTGTGCATGAATCAGCCTCAGTCCAGGATGCAGTCTTCAACACATTTTTTCCAATCTCCCTTGGGCCAGGCACTGGGTCCCCTCATCACCGTGGTCTTTGTCCACTTGAGTTTTCTCTCTAGTGAAGGAGCGGGATAGGAAACAATCAGCCCAATAAATGTATGAATTGAGGGCAACCTGCGAAAGGATAACTATAGAGGATCTAAAGGGTGCTGCAGGGCTTCTCTGAGCGATTGCCATCCTTCTTTAACCAAGTGAAGCCAGGGTGTTTCTGTGGAAAAAGTGGCATATGTGAACAATGACTTTGGGTGTCAGATTGTGCTAGGGCTTTCACGGTTAGTAACTTATTTCTCCATCCTTTGGTAAAGGGGAACCTAAATATAATAAAAGTACACATATTTAAGAATATAACTTGAGGGCTGGAGAGATGGCTCAGTGGTCTAAAGCACCTACTTAGAACAAGCTTAGCAAAAGCATCAGGGACCGCGGTTCAATCCCCCAGCACCACATGCCAGCCAGCCCGCCCCCTGGTGGGCTGAGCTGGCCTCTCTCTCTCTCTCTCTCTCTCTCTCAAATAAATAAATAAATAAAAATTAAAAAAAAATAAATTCTTAAGAATATAACTTGAATTCTTTTTATTCTTTTTTCATAATTTTATTGATAAACAAATAGCAATGAGACAGTTTCAAATCAAATCGCTAGGACAGTTTCAATAATTAACACACTGCATACATTCTTCTTAGCTTTTTATTCTTTTGAGGCAGGGTCTCGCTATGTAGTTCAGGCTGGCCTTGAGCTCATTATACAGCCCAAATTGGCTCTGATTCCAGGTGATCTTCCTTGCCTCAGCCTCCCAAGTGCTGGAATTCCAGGGATGAGCCACCATGCCCAGTGATGTCTTTTTCTTTTTTTTTCTGTACTGGGGATCCAGTCGAGGGCTGCTCTCCTGCCTCAACCTCCTGAATAGCTGAATAGCTAAATAACTGAATGCTACTGCATTCAGTTTATTGATAATATTTTAAGTTGTATACACTTTATAATGATTTATTGTTTAATTCTCACAGGTAATTATCTCATGAAGTATCATTATATCCGTTTTATTGATGAGGAAGCTGAGGCTCAGAAAAATCATGATTTGCTCAAGGTTCTATACATGAGGTGAAGTGCAGAACTAGGATTTTCCAAGCCAGTTCCGTACTGTAGTCTAGTGCCTTTCCTGCCAGGTGAGTATTTGGAAGATCTGCTTTACCCTTCTACCTTCACAAAGATTTTGTGTAAAGAGCTGGGTGTAGAAGCACATGCCTGAAATCTCAGCTCTCTAGTGTCTGAAACAGGAAGATTGTGTTTTCAGTCTAGTTTGAGCAATTTATCAATTTAGCAAGACCCTGTCTCAAATAAAAGACAGTGCAAAGGCCCTGGGTTTAATCCCCAATACCAAGAAAAAATTCTGTGGTAAATTTATTTGGGTTCTGCTGGGGAAGGATGCGTTGCTTTCACGATTTTCTTAGTGCAGAGCTTTTCCGAAAGAAGGGTTTCTCCCTGTTGGTTCCTTTCTCTAGAGGGGACAAACTGGGAATGTTAAGAATGTTCTTCCTTCTGGGTGTAGTGACATGCTGATAATCCAGCACTTTGGAGGCTGAGGCAGGAGGATCAAGGATCACCTGGGGTTAGAGGCCAGTCTGGGTTATATAGCAGGACCCTGTTTCTAAAAAACCAAAAACCAAAACAAAACGAAACAAAAGTGCTCTTCTTAAAAGACTTTTCCCACCAAGCCTTTCTCACCTGGAGTATAGCCCCTTCTATCACTTCTGCTCTCTCCTCTCACCATGGGTTCCAGGCTTCCTAGCCCTTCTCCAATCTCTGAGAGAGGGCCCCTTGCCAAGTTTCCTTGGCCCAGAGCTCTATGCGGGGGCTGAGTTGGGTATGTTTGTTTTTCTGTCTGGCACATTACCGGCTCCTCCTCCACTTTGGTGCTGTGCTGTGGTAGAGACTGGTAGGAGTGGGGAAGCTGGATTTTTTAATTTGCGTAAAACAGAACCTCTCCCCTAAATCTCCAGAGTGAGAGCATACCTGAAGCACATTCCACTTGCTGACTCTAGGCTTGGGCAATGTGGACCAGGTAGCTGGCCTTCAGATGGCCTTGGCCCTGGCCCCCGTGGCCTGGCACATTTAAAAACTTACTGAAATCTGTTTTGTTTTTTTGTTTGTTTGCTTATGTGACTCTGGAGATAGAATCTAGAGTCTCACACATGCTAGGCAAGCACTCTTAACCTGACCTACATCTCCAGCCCTAAATCTTTTCTTGAATAGGTATTACATCTAAGCAGTCCCAAATTCAAAGGGGACAGGAAGATAGAAAACACATTCCTTGCTGCTTGTCCAGGGAATAGACATTCCCATCTGTGCCTACCCCTGTTGCTATTAGGGATGTATGTGTGTGTGCATTTCTAGAAATGGGTTGCTGGGATGCTACAATTTTGAGGTGTATATTTTAAAGGCAGTCTTGGGGCCGGGGAGATGGCTCAGTAGGATAAGTGCTTGACTGGCAAACACAAGGATCTGAGTTCAATCCCCGGTTCCGCAAAAAAAAAAAAAAAAAAAAAAGTAAAGGCGGTCTGGAGGATAGGCAGGCCATAAGGTTTGCCTCCACTCAGGGAGAAGAAAGCATGTGGCGGTCTATGTGTATAGTATACCAGAGTATCAAGCAGAATCCTTAAACTCCTGCACACAAGCCAGCTCCCCAGGGTTATGTCAGAGTAAATGGATTCTTTTAGGTCAGTGGGTTTCAGAGTGTGTTACCCCTAGACCAGCAGGGAGAAATTGTTAGAAATGCAAATTCCCTCCCATCACATACCTACTGAATCAGAAACTGGGGGTAAGGTCCCACATCCTATATATCTGCTGCTCAGATAAAATGCTCAGAGAAATAGGAAGAAAAAATAAAAGGGGACATAAAAGAGGATTAAGATGTGCTAGGTGTCTATCCGAACTGCACATGATGAATGTAATCATTATGTACTGCATATGTACTGTAAAAATACACCTTAAAAAGAATCATGTGCAGGGGCTGGGGGTTTGATCCCCAGCCTGCTGTCCTGGCCCCACCCCTGGGGCATGCTGAGACAGCAATTGAGACTGGGCGTGGTGGCACGCGCCTGTAATCCCAGCTCTTGGGAGGCTGTAAACAGGTGGATCACTACGAGTCTGATCTAGTAGTGAGACCATGAACACCCTGTAGACTCTTCCCTAAAATATAAAAAATTAAAAAAAGAATCGCAAAGAGAGTTAAGAGGAAAAAAACCTTAACTGTGAGAGGCACTGTTGGATGTAGAAGGAACCGATGGGGCAGTGAGCCCCCCCCCCCCACGGGCTCATTAGGTAGGTAGAGGTTCCTGGGTCTCCACTTGAGTTCTCTTTCGTCTTCTAGGACCGCTCCTACCCATGGAACAGTCATCCACCATGGAGCCCCGGGGCCCTGTAGACCACGGAGTACAGATTCGCTTCATCACAGAGGCAGAGGGTGGTGCCGAGATGGGCACTCTACGCCGAGGGGGACGACGACCGGCTAAAGACGCCAGAGCCAATACCTACGGGGTGGCCGTGCGTGTGCAGGGTATCGCTGGACAGCCCTTTGTCGTGCTTAACAGTGGAGAGAAAGGGGGTGACTCCTTTGGGGTCCAAATCAAGGGGACCAATACTCGAGGAGCCCCAGGAACTCCAAGCTCTGATTCAGAATTCCCTGAGAACCCCTACTCTCCGGCCAAGGATCTTCCTGCCCCTTCTCAGGGCAGCACATCGGACGAGGAGCCTGGGACCCACTGGCAAGGAAGACTGCTCCGGTCCCAGTCGCAGGCCTCACTGGCAGGCCCTGCGCCTATAGGTCCCAGCAATAGGAGCACCAGCTTGCTGGAGCTGACACCCCAAGGGGCGATGCCAGGCAGCACCATCGACACTGCTCCCCTGTCTTCTGTGGACTCCCTCATCAACAAGTTTGACAAGCAAGTGAGGGGCCAGGCCCGAGGTCGTACTGGCCGCCGTACTCGGACACTGCCCCATGAACAGCGCAAGAGGAGCCAGAGCCTGGACAGCCGGCTCCCCCGGGATACCCTGGAGGAGCGGGAGCGCCAGGCTTCCAGCCACTGGGCCCCCAGCAGCAAGTATGACAGCCATGTGGACAGCGCAAAACAGCCTTCCCAGAGCCAGAGCCCTCTTGGTGGCTTTTCCCGTTCCCGGCAGACTCAGGACTGGGTCCTTCAGAGTTTTGAGGAGCTACAGGAGCGTGCACAGGATCCTGCCCTGCTGCAGGTCAGACGCAGCTCCTGCCCACTTCCAACCCCAGCCCTCTCACAGCCCTGGCCCTGGTCCTACAGTTCTGTGCTAATCCAAATCATCTTGGCCAGAGAGCCTCTACCTCTTGTTCTCCACTTTATCCATTCATCCAGGAAATAGATGATATTCATATACACGAGGTACTTCCTTGAGTAAAATACCGATGAAAGTGAAACAACAACAAAAAGTCAGGCATGATGGTGCACTCAGGAGGCTGAGGCAGGAAGATTACCTTGAGTTTGGGACTAGCCTGGGATACGTAGCAAGAACCTGTCTCAGAAGAAAAGAAAAAGAAAATGGCACTTACTATAAAATCATTGATCAGAAGCATAGAGGATTATCTGTCATTATCTCAGTAGCCATGCCTTAGTGACTGCAAATGCTGGTTTGCTAAGTCTGTAGCTTTCATAAGGCGTACTGAGATGGTAGGGACAGATCCCTTGCCAGAATTTCACATCTTTCTCTTCCACTCAGGGAGGCAAGTAAGGGCAGAGAGATAGCTCAGTAGAATAAGCGCCTGAGTAGAGTAAGGGTCCTGAGTTCAATCCCTGGTACCACAAAAAAAGGGAAGTCAAGTTAAGTGCGGGAGTGAGTTTATTTTTGAGATAAACTTGTATCCATTTTTAAAGTCACTTATGAACTCTGGCACACCCATTGTCATTAGTGACAAATGACTTGTGACATACTGCACAGCTGGTTGAGACCTGCTTATTGAGGAAAACACTGTTTTCAACAACAGCAGAGCATTGTGTCCTGCTTGACTTCCCCCAGGCCACTGGCTCGGGCATCAGCAGTGTGGTTCAGCATGACCGGCCGGCTGTGTCTCCCAGCTTCATCTCTTCTCCAGAACCCAAGCACATTTCCGCACTAATCTCTTTCCTCTTTCTTCTTTTTCCCCCTCTTCCTCTTCCCCTACCCCCTTTTCCTTCTGCTTTCCCCCCGCCCCTTTTACTACTTTTCCCCTGTAGTTCAAGTCAACTCCAGACCTTCTCCGAGACCAGCAAGAAGCCGCCCCAGCAGGCAGTATGGACCATGTGAAGGCCACCATCTATGGCATCCTGAGGGAGGGGTAAGTGTGGCTTCCCCTACCCTGAATGCCTGCATCTCCTTTCTTTTCCTCTGGCCTCACTCCCCATCCTCCTCCCTACTTCCTGATCTCTGTGATCTCTCTCTCTTCTGCTCAGACTTGTGTCTGTCCTTTTCTGTCCAGAAGCTCAGAAAATGAGACCTCGGTGAGGAGAAAGGTTAGTCTGGTGCTGGAGCAGATACAGCCTCTTGTGGTGAGTAGCCCTCCCTGGCCCAGGTTAGGGTCTTCGTGGTGTCTGGGGCCTGGGTGTGGACTGACTCCCAACCTCTTCCCCTGGTTGTCCTCTTGTTTCTCTGGCAGATGGTTTCTCCTGGTTCTACCAAGGCCCTGGCAGGGCAGGGTGAGCTCACCCGCAAAGTGGAGGAGCTACAGAAAAAGCTAGATGAAGAGGTAAAGGTGAGAAGAGATTGGAGATGCGAGCAGGTGAAGAACCACAGGGGAAGCCATGGTCTGGCCTAGAGGGGGGCTAAGCTGACCCCTTCAGGCAATTGAGCAATCACTGATGGGCCCGTGAGATGAGAGACAGCCCATGCCCTCATTTGAGCCAGGACTTTGGGATTCTCTGGATCCTTGGGAAGCAGAGATCCAGCCACTTCGCATTCTTTTTTTAATATTTTAGGGAAGGGTCTACAGGGTGTTCAGGGTCTCACTACTAGATCAGACTCGTACTGATCCACCTGTTTACAGCCTCCCAAGAGCTGGGATTACAGGCACACTACCAAGCCCAGTGTCTGTTGCCCTCATAGTGTGCTTTGGGGGCAGAGCCAGCACAGCAGGCCCAGGGATCAAACCCCCTTGATCCACTGCTGGCTCTGCTACTTACTGGCTATGTGTGGCTTGAGAAAACTACTCAGTTATCTGTGCCTCCAGTCATTTTGGTGTTTATGTTTCATTCACAGTACTGGGGATTGGCTCCAAGCCCTTCACACTGAACTACATCCCTAGCCCCTTTTAATTTATTTTTATTTTCTCTGGTGCTAGGGATTGAAATGCGGGCCTTTACACTAAGTTGTATCCCCATCCCTTTTTAATTTTGAGACGGGTCTTACTAAGTTGCTGAGTTGCCCAGTCTGGGCTTGAACTAGGAGAGTCTTCCTGCCTCAGTCTCTCATGAGTGCTGGGATTGTGGATGGGTTTATGTCGTCATAATGATAATGGCAGCTGTGGTTTATTGAGCATAATATTTGTAGCAGATACTGTTCTGGGTGATGAGGAATTATTGTAGTGACTGTAAGGTAGGCATTCAGGACCCATTAATGATGAGAACAATGAGGATGAGAGGTTAGTGAATGGCCTGTGGTAGTAAGTTGCAGAGAAGGAATGGAAAAATCCCTTCTAAAACCTATATACTCTTTTTAAAAAAGTTTTTTGAGGTAAGGTCTCAATGTGTAGTTTAGTTTGATCCTGAACTCACTATACAGCCCTGACTGGCCCTGGAACTTGTCATGATCCTGCCTCAGCCTCCCAAGTGCTGGGATTATAGGCATGTGCCACCACACCTGGTACATTCTCATTATTCTGTATCTTTCTCTGTCTGCTCTACTCTTCCCTCTTTCAGAAGAGACAGAAGCTAGAGCCTTCCCGAGCTGGGCTGGAGCGGCAGCTGGAGGAGAGAGTGGAAGAGTGCAGCCGACTGCAGGAGCTGCTGGAGAGGCGGAAGGGGGAGGCCCAGCAGAGCAGCAAGGAGTGAGTGCGCGTGTGGGCTGCCCGGGAGCCTGGGGTTGCCGTATTAAGGAAGGTATTCAGGAGAGCCCTCACTGGGATTCACACCCAGGCCTGCAAGAGTGCTTGGGTAGCATCCTCGAGGTCCTGGCTTCTATGCCCTGCACTTCCAAACAAAAACAAACAAAAGATTTGAACATTTAGAAGAGGTGCAAATGAATTAATATATATGAGTAAAATCTCCAGAAGCAGAAGGAGCAAGGGTGAGTGTTCTTTTTTTTTTTTT